TCTAGTGAGATCGACCAACGAATCTCTGCTTCATGCACTTTCATACGAAATGAAAGTCCCCTAACAATGTTATCTCAAGAGATTCATCTAAACCCAGTTTCTCATCATATCTACAATGAACATCCTTAGGCCTGGGTATCATTCTTACAACTACATTTAAGCAAAATCATCGACTCATTAGCCTGAAAATAGTTGCAAGAGTGATAAGATGGTCGAAAGCTTTGCACGTTTCGACCGAAATTAAAGGAGATTTCCTCACAAGCAGCATCAGCATGAATGCTCCAGTGAGGCCAACCAACAGCTGGTCAAGAGGGATCAAGCGTGGTCTTCTTATAAGATTAACTTTCAAATCTCTTCACCAAACACTTTAACTGTAGCTAGAAGTGAGCTCAACAATTATTAACCAAGACATTACTCGAAAAGCAACTTTCTTTCTCATTTAGTAGCTGCATGTATTTTTCCGACTGTTCCGGTGCTGGTTTGAGCAGCGGATAGGCCGTAGTTTCAAGTTTTGCCTAAACAGTTGCAGACAAACAGAGGGCCTCAAAAGTAGACACAGCTTTACAGTTTTTGAGTCCAATTTTTTGTTCTCCTCGACTTTGTGCTAGTGACAACATGCATCAGGCTGCGCTGTGGCCCTGCATGTGCTCAGCTTTGTAGGTGCACAATGGAAGAGCCAAAATCTACTCATTTTCACAGTCTGGCCCCATCAAAGCCCCACAACTCTTCGGACCTGCTCGACCCGCACCCCTCTTTCCCACTACGTCAGGATTGCAGGCCTCGTGACCCACTCATGATGTTGGGTCAATTTGAGTACGAGACTCACTTACAGGACAGTTGGGCCAAACAGTCGTAAACTCACTTGCCTGCATGCGTTTACATGCATTTGCTCAAGATATCAAGTTTCCCTCTACACTTTTGTATCCGTTTTCATCTTCAATCCCAAACGACCTGAGCACTAAGAGTCGTTGTATCAGATTTGGCTGGTTGACTATGAAATATGCATACGGACGAAAAGTTGCAAGGTCAAAACAGTGGCTAAAGCCTTCAATGTCGGTAGAAAAAGATTGGGTGTGGGAAGTAGGTGAATAGAGAGAGAGAGAGAGAGAGAGAGAGGCCAAACTGAGACTCTGCTCCGTCTCCATTTGTCCTACAGACTTTGCTCCGGCTGTCTCAAGGTCCCGAATGCTATAGGCACGCAGATTGTGAAAACCAATAGCTTCGCCAATCTCGGTAATGAAAGCAACCATGTCACCGCCGTTGTCCCGCCAACCATCACCTTCAGCTCCCGTGTCACCATCACTACACATGGCCTCATCTCAGCTAACAGAGCCTGA